TATAGGTTCACCAATAAATAATATTCCAGGGGAAAACATAATAATCAATCATCAATGCATAGATTAATCAGATCATAAGGGGCTTTCGCTATGTATTACGATCACAGAATTAATCTACCGGTATTAAATCGCATCTCTCGAATCTTGATTTAACCATTTATAAATTAATCTGCCTATGGAAACTAAGCCTAAACATTAATTCTCATCTCTCGAATCTCGAATCAATATTGCATAACTCATACAATTAAACCAGCGCAAATCTAATTGCATAGTGTTAAATCAATCAATAGGAAATCAACCAAAACATTGACAATCAACAATAATAAATTACCCCGTCATATTAATTATGGATCCCCACAACCCTAGAAATAAAACTACTCGCACATAATTAAATCTAAACTAAGCAAGGCAATTAAAGAAAGCATAATTAAATCAAAGCAATTAAATTACTGAAAGTAAAGAGGGAAGAAATCGTTACCAAAGTAGACGGAAGTAAAGAATTGTATAAACTAAAAGTGTCGAGAGGGATCAAGAGTATTAACTAAAACCTTAAAACTAAAAACTAAGAAATTAAACTAATGAGAAAAGTAGAGAGAGAGAGAGAGAAAAAAGAAGGTCCCAAACTCGCTTAACAAAAGCGTATTTATATTAAACTAAGAAAACCTAAGCTAAAACGAAGATCAAAAGTGCTAAACAAACTCAGAAACATGCGCCCGGTCGGGCGCCATCTCGCCCTGCCGGGCGCGCCTTCGGGCGAGGGCTCGCCCTGCCGGGCGCGCCTTCAGGTGAGGGCTTGTCTTGCCGGGTGCGCCTTCGAGCGAGGGCTTGCCCTGCCAGGCGAGCTCCCAGGCAAACTTGGACTTCTTCAATTGGGTCGTTTCTTAGCCCAATTTGCATTTCCTCTTTGGGTTTTGAATACATGATCCATTGCCTCGGACTCTTCTTCTTCGCCGAGCCCTTAATCACCGATTTGATGACTCCAACCGGTCCTGGGCTTCGGAATGTGGTCATATGAATGTGACCTTACTCAAATGCTCGTAGCGGCTCCAATAAATCTGGAAAAATGCTCCAAATTCGCAATTTCCTATAAAACGATACCAAATCTAAGAAAACACTAGAAAACGCATATTAGTAACAAAAGTAGCTCCGTAGAGCTCAAATAAACATAATTATGACCATTGGGACGTGGAATATATATATAAAATAGACTTATCAGCAGGCGTTACGGGTCTTCTGCTGGTGCTATTCTATTTGTGCAGCAGGTGGAGATGGAGGTTGTTGGTAATTGATGGTGGTGAGAGGTGGTGAAGGTTAAGGTGTGGGTATAGCCGGCGTCGGTGACCAAGGGATGGGGGGTTTTGTGTGCCGGCCAGTGTCGGGGGTAGGGGGTCAGGCTGAGAGTGGGTGGTAGGCGTGTGGAAGGTTTTTTGGTTTTCTTTTTTTAAAAAAATTTTCAATTTTTTTTAAATTTTTTTTTGGACCAACCACGTGTTGACACGTGGCTTGGTAACCTGTAATAAAAGGTTATTAACCACTTGTTGACCGGTTGGGACTACTAGAGGCAAAGTGACCCCATAGTTGGGATTATTAGATAATAAACCTTGGTTGGGATTATTTTTAGTAAATCGCTTATACTTGGGATTATTAAAGTGTATTTTTTCAATTTAAAATTTGTCTAAAATTTTTATAAAAGTCTAATTGTATGACCTTTAATTATATTACTTTGCATTAGTTTTATTTGTTTAGTTTAATTATGGACAACATTTAAGGAATAAGAGATACATTCGATGACTAATAAGATAGTGGAAACAATAAATATTCGGTTTTTTTACAATTCACCCCTGAGTTTTTTGTTTATTCACCATATACAAAAAAAAAAGTTTCAAATTCACCATATGCCCCTGAATTGTTACAAAAATTCAACATATACCCCTAATGACAACAAGATGATGAGTGGAATTTGATTAATTATGCATCGAAACCACCTTAGATCTCTTCCCCCATCCCCGAAACCACTCCTCTTCTTTCTTCAACCCCCGAAATTACTCTAATTCTCCATAAACATATCCGTATGATTGATTTTGAGGATGTGAAAAGGAAATTTGGGGTGGTTTTGGGGGTGGGAAAAAGAAATGTGGGCGGTTTTGGAGGTAGGGGAATGTATTTATGGTGGTTTCGGGTCATAATTAACCCTAATGACTGACGAATCGAAGTTAACAATCATTAGTCATCAAGGGTATATGGTGTATTTTTGTGAAAACTCAGGAGTATATGATGAATCTAAAAAAGTTCAGGGATACATGGTGAATAAACAAAAAACCGATAAATATTTTAAATTTTAGTTTGTTGAGTTCGTATTTTTTTTAACGAGCCGAATTTCGGCCAAAAATCTATCCAAAGCCCTTCACAAATGCCATCTAAGAGGTGGTCGCGGGTAGGTTGCGGTGTGGTGTTGCGAGCCGCAGGTAGGCTACCACACCTACTCTTCTTATGTCTTTAGCAAGTTGGTCGTGGATAGGCCTCAAAGAAGTGTTACAAGCCACAACTAGGCTGCGGACATTGCTGCATTGGGCTCCTTCGTGCTTAGCTTTAATTGGTCCTACAAGCTGCTCATATGGTGTCAATTAAGGTTTAGGATAAATCATTGTATTGCTTGTGCTTGTGGTTATGCCTAGGTTCTCTCTTTGATGTTGATTATCACCAAGACCTTCATTAACAATGTCAAGTTTTAGAAATCAAGAACGATCACGCTGGTGATGCTCGTGAAGAACAGGGGAAAAAAAATCGAGATGATATGGGTTTGCTAGGCTGCTAGGGCTCCGATACCATGTCAAGTTTTATGTAATTGTATTTTCCTTGCCTTGTATTGCTCATCAATAGAGTATATATAATACAACCTAAGTGTAACCTAAAGCCCTATTAGGACTTAATTATATTAAGCATAATTATACAATATATAGCCCAACAAACAATGATGCTCATAACCTCTGTAGCACATCCATCAAACCTCATGTCGAAATTTACTAATTCCTACAAAACAAAGAAAACACACCCCGTGAGAGAAATAATTGTAATTTGTAATCAAATGACGCTTATATATAATGTTGGGAGAAAGTACAACACATATCATATAAGGGCTTGTTTAGTTCACCTAATTTTTTATTTTCTGATTTGACCAAACTTTGACATTTTGTGTACGATAATCTATAAAGAACAAATATATCAATTAGGGTCTTGTTAGTTTTGTATTAATATGGGTTTTTATTTTTTTTATTTTTTTTTATTTTTATTATTACGTAATTAAAGATATTTAGCTATAAAAAATCACATATAAAACGATGATCTGATTTGAATTTATCTTTTCTGATATGATATAAAACCTATTTTTTCTAAAATAAGTAAAATTAAGTTGAACTAAACAAGACCTAAATATGCCATATAAATTACGTCAACTATCGTATCACTCGACTGGCCCAATCGACAGGTGTACTCTTGTTTAAGGGTAATATTTTCATTTTGTTTAATGAATAAATTTTAAAAGGATTATCAACCTATTTTACCTATTAAATATTGTCACATCACAAATTCAACCCAATAACGCTTAGTTTAATTAATCAAAACATTAATACAAACGACTACTCCATACAACTTAAGAAGGGATATCCTACAGATACTTAAGACTGTTAAGAGAAGAGTATAACTTAAGAGGGAGTAAGCCGCTACTCGCATCAAATCGCAAGACTATATTAAACGACTAAATGTCCTTTAGGCTTTCTTTGGTTTAATATTAATAAAGAAAAGAAAGAAAAAGGATTATAAGGAAAAAGAAAGGAAGAGACGCAAAAGGAAAAAAATTATATCATCTAATGTTTGGTTTGATATTAGTAAACAAGGTAAAAAGTGAAGAACTTATTATTTAGTACGACGTAAAGGAAAGAAAGGAAAGGAAAAACTAATTTTAAGCTTGATAAATTTCATTTCTTTCTTTCTTGTCAAATTTAGGGCCGGCTATTGGGCCTCACAATGTTTGGGCCCCAAAATATGGCTTCTAATCACTACCCTTTAAAAACCACAATATGTGTTACTATTCAAAGGAATAGTGTTATGCCGGTTATACCTTAAGCTTTTCATATTATTTGCAAAATTGCCATTGTTGTTTGTTGACTTGCTTTGACTTTTTTTATGGCATGAAATAAAGGGGTGAGACCACCTTCCTTGTTTTATGGCATGACATGGTTTGCATGTATTTAGAGTAGATATAGTTTAGGTGTATTATTTTATTTTATTTTATTTTTTGGGTTTATTTTTCAATTGGAACCAATATACTATACACTAAAATAATCACCAACATTATTTCATAAGTACACGTATCATGCCCACAATAATAATTTTCCCGCCAAAAACTACTTTTTTTTCCTTGAATAATAATAAGATAATTGTTTTAAAAAAAAAGAGAATATACAGCCTAAAAAATCCAACAATAACAACTTTAAATAAATTAAATACTTTTAAATCGTTAATCTATAAAATGTATATTCCCCACAATCTTTAGTCGTTAATCGATAAAATGTATTGTTCGTTTCCTAATAAAAAAGAATATTTACTCAATTTTAAATTCATAATTTGTGAGCAAACAACATAATAGGGATACTCTACATTTAAGTATGTCATCTATAATAGTTTGATAACATAATTATATATTACAATGTATATACAATCTTATACTCCCTCGTCCCTTAATTTTTGCCCCATTACTATTTTTTGGGTCAAATTTTGACAACTTTGACCATAAATTATCATTAATCTACAAAAGATACTATAGTCATGAGTGGTCTTGTTTTATTCGACTCATTGTATATTTTATTACTATCACGTTTTTATTATTTTTACGTGTATGGAAATAAAGATATATACGTTTTAAGACGCGTCTTAAATATCGTACGCAGTTAAATGAGGCAAATAAATAGGGATATAGAGTGTAGTAATTTACAAGTATAAATAATTTTTTTCTTCGAATGCTCGGGCAAAGAACTAGTTTATTCTATATATAAGGTGTTCTACGCTCTGAGACTGTCCACTCTCTCTCCTCTAATCCTCTAATTCTGTTTCACTCTAATTTTTAAACAGAGATGAAATAAAGCTATAACCATTGGAACACTAAGTATTCTAAATTCTCCATTGAAGCGAATATCAACTTTACAGTCGTGAAGAATGGAGTAGCCAGCAGCGAAACCTAAGGACGGTGGCTGAACAATCAGAAGAATTTGAAGAAATACAGCTTGGCCCTTTTCCGATCGAACAATTAAAGGTACAATTGTCAAATTTTTCCTCATTTTTCTCTCATCAACTTGATAACTACCTCTTATTTATCTGGATTTTCTACATTTTCTATCAATTTTATCTCATCCCCATCTCTCAATCCCACCCCTTTCTCTCTCTCCACAACCATGATGTACGATGAACCTCCACCTTCACCACTACCGCAGCAGCATCAACAACACCCGCAACAACACCAACACCAGCACCAACCACCGCCGCAGCAAGGACCACCATCGCACCATATGCAACACCCACCACCATCACACATGCATCCTCCGCCGTAGTACAAGCAGCACCCGCTGCTTCCTCCGCAGCACCAACAGCATCCTGGAATGGACTTTCACAGGGGCCCACCTCCACCTCCTCCTACTATGATGCGACAGTCTTCTGCTTCTTCTACTAATCTCCCTCCTCCCGATTTTCATCACCCTCAACAACCTCCTGAATGTAATCTCTCTTCTCAAATTTGTTTTTATTTATTTATTTCTTTTTTTTTTTTTCGAGATTTAGGTAATCAAATTTATGAATTGGGGGTTTAAGGGATTGTTTGATGTGGGGTTGATTGAATTGTTTGGGTAATTGTTAGATTATTGATTTGTTCTTTCATCCGAGTTTTTTTAAAGACTTTGATCTAATATTTGATCTTAACCTTTTGATATCGATACTGATATTGATATTAATTTTTGATTGGGTTTATTGTTTGATTGATCGTGAAGAACCCTATAAGGGAAATTAAATAAGTTTAGTAAGTATAGATGTATTCAATTTGATGCCTGATTGTTTACTATATATATAAGTAAAAATGTATGCTCCTAGCAAGCGCCGTGAGAGGGACTTGATGAAACTGTAAATACCCAGAATTAATTTATTTTTGATTGATTTTGTATAATTTTTTCATCATGAATTTGGATTAGAAGTTGGGTGTGTTTAATATTGTTAAATTTTCATGAACTACGTTGATGATTGACTATATGGTGGAGATGATCGATCGATGATGGCATGCAAGAATTTTGTGTTGGATTTCATGGACCCACTAACAGTATATATAATCTAAACTCCTCTGAATTTTTAGAAGCAACCACAACACAGAAAAATTAATACGCAAATTTGATAAACTATTTGCAAAGAATAATTAATATTCTGTTTCGTTGAATTAATGATTACGCTGCCAAATTATGAAGAGTTTTTGTATAGTTTAAACAATTTCATTCTAGCATGAATTTGTCCGCAAGTTACCATCAAAGGCTTTTGTTCGCAGTCTTCGCACCGCATCCAGCCAATAGCAAAATTAAAATGAATTAGTTCCTGGGAACTATGTCATGAAGATGTCTGCTGTGACCTTATAGTATACTTTGACGGGAGAAGATTCTTCATAAACTGAGAAATCAAATTATGGGTTTCAACTGTGTGAAGATATTTAACAAGAAAGGGAAGGAACCCCAAGTTTGGCTTTATCTAATGAATATTCAGTATGCAAGTCTGTTTGAATCGCTCTGCAACTGTTGAGTTGGGTGGGGTGAGGAGGGCGAGGGAAGGTCAGGGAGTCTTAACAATGATCAACAATAGTGCCTTATTTTTTGGGCAGGTTAGTTTTATACTTTTATCTCTGGCATACTCCATACATTTTGCTTATTAAATTCTTGCCAATTTAGGTTGGATTTGGTTCAGCTGAAAAATTTTGAACTGAATTCGTTTTTAGATTTCAAGTTTTAATCTGTTTGATTCTTAAGCCAGAAAATCTGGATAAGAGGGGGTGAGGAGAGCTAGAGTGGAGGAAAGGAGGAATATCTGTTTGATTCTTTTTTTTTTTTTTTTTTTTTTTTCTCTCTCAAATTAGGGACATCTCTTCCATCTTCGAGGATATTATATTTCACCGTAGGAAAAATCTTAAAAGTAATTGTTTGGAATATAATGTTCCCTTCAATTAAACTGGCTCGTTATGTTTATACCTGTTTCAATATTATCGCTCACACTTGTGTTCTCAGTACACAATTTAGTTACAATATGAACCTTTTCCCTATTTGTTGACTAATGGTTGTAATTGAAGATGATGTAAGTAAAGTTCAATATTTAGTTTGATATAATTTATGTTTTACTCTTTACTTGATGGCTTCCAACTAAATGTCACTAAATTACAATATTATTTTTAATCTTGTTTCTAATGTTGATATTTTTGAAAAAGTATTTATATTTTGTCATCACCAATTTAAAAGAGTATTCTCCTAACATTAGTGTGAACAATAATATTGCAGTTATACCTTTTGGTCTGAGCCACACAACTCTGATATAGGCTGACTGATTTGCACGAGCTTTGGTGTAAGAAGATCTACAATCATGCTCCTTGGAGCAGTTTGACATCTAAAGTAGTATGCTTTTCTTTACCCTACATGAAGATTTGTTTGAGTTTTGGTTGTTATAAATGAGTTTGCAATAGTTTTTTTTAATTATGTGTCTAATAAATAGTTGATACCGTTTAGTCATTGTTATGGGTATTCATAGGAGTATAAAGTTTATTTTGGCCTCATCATCCCAAGAAAACTGAGGAAAACCAATTGTTGGTTGTTTAATGGTGTGGAATCCTTCGTCCTATGGTTATAGCTCACAATTTGATTGGTATACATTCATTGAATTTTGCTTTTATACGCTGTAATACCCACCAATTGAACACATTTATTACTCTCCGAGAAGAAAATATTGACACCCTGGAAACAAGGAGTTAGATATTCAAGAATTTGTTATAACGTTTAATGTTGTACGATTATGCAGTTTGCAGCATATATAGATATAGATAAAGTTTAAAGTTTATAATGGAAAACGAACTGAACCTTGGTTACAGTACTAAAATGGAAAAACGAACTGAACCCTTGGTTACAGTTTTATAACGGAAAACAGAACTGAACCTTGTTTAAAGTTCTAGACACATAAAATTTAAAACACAATTCCTAATGACATATAAAATATAAAACATGATTCCTGATAGAGCTGCCACTATAAAATGCTAAGGCAGGGGAGGGGGAGGGAGGGAGGGCAGGGGGGGGGGGGAGGGTGGGGGGGACAGAGAGAGAGAGTTCAAACCATTTTTAAAGTGTAAAAAAATTTTAGATTATGATTTGTTTTATTTAAACCTATATTACTAAGCGATGGTAATAGTAATACAAATGGTATCCCCTCTAAACTTGAGTAATACAAATGATAATAGTTTTTTTTTATCGAGTCCACTTCCTTTGTTTTCTATTTGATAGCCTATAAATGTGAGGCGACGACCCAAGAAGTCCATGACAGTGGAAAGATATGTGTTTCCTAAAGAGAATCAAGTCTTGGTTAAATTTTCCTCCAATAAAAAAAAAAAAGTTTTGGTTAAATCTGGATACTATTCGGCAAGTGATAGTTATTTTCATTATTCACTTGAGCATCATGGCTGCCACAGCCTTCTTTGTTATGCATGTTCAGGTGATAGTTATTCTCATTATCTCATAGTCGTTTTTAAAGGATTAAGTTTAGAATATTTTGTATAATATGGATGAGTAGGATGACTACTTTAGAAACATCATTTTGGAGTCCTGATTCGATTTTAACGCTTTAATTCTTTACAAGTTGCAACTTGGTTTTTATCTGCTAGCCTACCTCTCTACTGGTTTGCCTCTTACTTGATGTCTTCTTTTGGAAAGAGTCGGCGATGGGCACAATTAATATGGGCATATGCTGCCTTGTACATACTCCTTGGTAGTCTACTTTTGTTTAAACTTCTATCCATTTACTCAAACTTCAAGATGTGTATTTTAATGTAAGTTTACTAATATTTTTATATATTTTTATGCAAGTTTACTAATATTTTTATGTAAGTTTACACAACACGGTCAAAGAGAAGTGTTTGAATAGTGGTTAAGTTAAATTGTTCAGCATTGAAAAAAAAAAAGCAAAGGAGTTCATTAGTGAATAAAACAAAGAAAGAAACCCCTATTCTAATGTTTAAAATGATCTGCAGTAATGAGAGAGAGAGAGAGAGAGAGAGAGAGCGAGCATGTACTTAAGAAATTCAAAGCAATTAGCTTAGGAAAATATTAGACCACTTAAGCTAATCACACTTTTTAAAGCTAATTTTTTAAAAAAGATCACTTTGAAGAGAGAGAGAGAGAGAGAGAGATCACTTAAGAAAGATTATTTAACAAAAAGAGAGAGACCACTTAAAAAATATCACTTTAAGGAAATCAGAGAAATTAGCTTAGGAAAAAAGAGTTACTAAATGCTAGATAAAGAGAGAGAGAGAGAGAGAGAGAGAGAGAGAGAGAGAGAGAGACCATTAAGAAAAATAGGGCAATTAGATTAAGAAAAGTGCAATTAGTTTAGGAAAGGCTTACTAAAATGATACAGAGAGAGACCGCTTAAGAAAATTACTTAAGAAATCAGGACAATTAACTTAAGAAACTTAGGGCAATTAGCTTAGGGGAGAGAAACAGAGCACTTAAGAAAGATCACTTAAGAAAACCAAGGCAGTAAGCTTATGAGACAGAGATAGTACTTAAGAAAGATCACTTAAGAAAAGCAAGTTAATTAGTTTAGGTATGAGAGTGTGTGTGAGAGAGAGAAAGCACTTAAGAAATATCACCAAAGAAAATAATGACAATTGCTTAGGAGAGTGAGAGAGACCGTTCAAGGAATATTTATCACTTAAGAAAAGTTGGGGAAACCAACTTAAGATACGCAAAAACAAGATAAAATCGTATATCTTGGGCCAATAAAGGAAGGATTAAGTAAAAGGGGAGCAAGTGCGACCTATAATTTTCAAATCCATTAAAAAAATAAGAGAGAGTAGGGGGATAAGGCGAGAGAGAGAGAGAGAGAGAGAGAGAGAGAGAGAGAGATGTTTTTGGGCAATAGAGGAAGGAAGAGGTGAGATACACTTTAAAAGATCATTCTTAGTGTTTAATTGTGGAAGAAACTTAGAGGCTATAAAGGATGGAAATGGAGAGAAATTAGGACCATTTGAACCAAATAACTCATTCCAATTGTACAAAAATTAAGGTCTTATATTTTATCGTAATTAATAGTTTTGGTTTAGAGTTTAAAATTTTATATTCTAAATTACGATATTAATATACGTCCATTTTTTTTTTTTTATTACTTTAACATTACCTTATCATACACTCGAAATCAAAATAGCAATAACCAAAAAAAAAAAAAAAAAAAAAAAAAAAAACCTTATAATAACTACACCGATTCATAGCATACATATACTTACGCAAATTAGCTTAGGAAAATGCTTACTAAAATGCGAGAGAGAAAGGGAGAGAGCACTTAAGAAATTAGAGCAATTAGCTTAGGAAAAGGCTTATTAAAACGATGGACCACTTAAGCTAATTATGTTTTCTTTAGCTATTTTCTTATGAAAGATCACTTGAGAGAAGAGACCACTTACAAAAGATCATTTGAGAGAGAGAGAGATCTTAAAAGATCATTTGAGAGAGACCACTTAAGAAAGATCACTTAACAAAAAGAGAGAGGCCACTAATAAAAATTTCTTCAGAAAATCAGAAAAATTAGCTTAAGAGCTTAACACTTTGTTTGGATTGAAGAATATAGAGGGAAGGGAAGGAAAATGAAGGGATGGATTATCTTTCATTTGGATAACAAATGAGGAAGGAAGAGAATTAAAGGGGAGAGAAATGGAGGGATTAATTTATAAAAAATTAATCTTTCCAACAAAGGAGAGATTCGGAAGGTAAACACATCATTCTTCCCTCCCCTTCTTTTCCCATCCCTCCCTCTTCTTCTCCTTTTTTTCCTTCTCTTTTTTATGTCCAAACACACTGTACGGGAGAAAGAGAAAGAAAAAAAGGGACCACTTAAGAAAGATCATTTGAGAGAAACCACTTAATAAAAATCACTTAACAAAAAGAGATAGACTACTTAAGAAAGATCACTTATGAAAATAAGAGAAATTAGATTAGGAAATAGATTTACTTAATGCTAGAGAGAGAGACCACTTAAAAAAGATCACCAAAGAAGAAATATCACTTAGGAAAAGAAAGATCTCATTAGAAAATCAAGTGACCACTTAAGAAAGATCACTTTAAAAACTCTGGGCAATTATCTTAGGAAAGAAAGAGAGAGAGAGAAAGAGAGACTAGTTAAGAGAGATCACTTAAGAACAAAGACCACTCAAGAAGAAAGAAAGATCTCATTAGAAAATCAAGTGGCCACTTAAGAAAGATCACTTTAAAAACTCTAGGCAATTATCTTAGGAAAGAGAGAGAGAGAGAGACTACTTAAGAGAGATTACTTAAGAATAAAGACCACTCAAGAAGAAAGAAAGATCATTTAAGAAAGGTTACTTAAAAATAAATATCACTTAAGAAAGATCGCTTAAGAAGAAAGGTTACTTAAGCAAAGAAAAGATCTCTTAAGTAAATTAACAGACCACTTAAGAAAATCAGATAAAAAGGCAATTATTTTAGAATGGGAAGAGAATGGGAGAAAGACCACTTAAGAAGAAAGATCACTTAAAAAAATTTAGAAACCACTTAAGAAAGATCACTTAAGAAATCAGGGCAATTAGCTTAGGGGAGATAGATATATATATATATATATATATATATATATATATATATATATATATATATATATACACATATGTATATATTTATATACATATGTATATATATTAAGAAAACCAGGGCAATTAGCTTAGGAGAGTGAAAGACCACTTAAGAAAGATCAAGGCAATAAGCTTTGGAGAGAAAGAGATACCACTTATGAAAGATCACTAAAGAGAATCAGGGCTATTAGCTTAGGAAATAGGCTTACTAAAATGCGCGCGAGGGAGAGATAGAGACTACTTAAAAAAGATCACTTAAGAAATTCAAGGCAATTAGCTTATGAGAAGGAAGAGAGAGAGAGAGAGAGACCGCTTAAGAAGATCGCTTATGAAAATCAAGGCAATTAGCTTAGGAAAGAGAAAGAGAGAGAGACCACTTAAGAAAGATCGCTTAATAAAATCTGGTTAATTAGTATAGGAGAGAGAGGAACCACTTAAGAAAATTAGGACAATTAGCTTTGGAGAGAGAATGACCACTCAAGAAAAACATAAAAGGGCAATCAGCTAAGAAAAACACCAGTAACTTAGGAAAAGGTTTACTAGAATGCTTAAGAAAACACAATTAGTTTAGAATAAAGGGCAAGCTAACGTACATGAACTGACTTTATAATATCAACAAAACCATTAAAACAATTTAGATATAATTCTAATATTAGCAAAACCAAAAATAATACTTTTAATACTATTTTTTAATAGTAAAATAGAGAAGGAAATATTGAGTCTTTTTAAGAGAGAAATCATCACTTAAGAAAGATTACTTAATAAAATAAAAGAAATTAGCATAGAAAAAAGACTTACTAAATGCTACACACACACACACACACAGAGAGAGAGAGAGAGAGAGAGAGAGAAGAGAGAGAGAGAGAGAGAGAGAGAGAGAGAGAGAGAGAGAGATCACTTAAGAAAGATCACTCAATATGAAAGATCGCTTAAGAAGAAGGATCACTTAAGATAAGAAATATCACATAAGAAAATTAAGAGATCATTTAAGAAAAATCACTTATGAAAATCAGGGCAATCAAGGAAATTAGCTTAGAATAGAGAG